TTGCGTTTATAAGTTTGATGGTGTTGGGACTCAAAAATACCCAACCCATAACCTAAAAATGTGTTTGGAACTCTATACACTTTAAAATCTGCAGATCCTGCTCAACGCGCTCTATTGAAAAAAATCCAGCACTTATTTTTGCCATAACTTGAGAACCGTAACTCCGATTTACGCCCAGTTTAAAGCGTTGGAAAGCTTACTCAATAATATATCTAACAATTTCTAAATATAAACCAAATTGATGATTTTTCTATTATTTAATTTGAGCCTTATTTGTTGATGGATTACTCAAAATTGCCTCTTTGAAGCTATGCATTTGGCTCTTATTACTCGATGCTCCAAATATGAATGAATACCTATAAAAAAGATGAAAACTATCAAATGATACAATATTTACACAAAAACACAATTATACTCAATATGTAGAAATAAACACATAATTTGAGGCATATTAAAAGGATTACAACCGAATAAGTTGATAAGTACCACTAAAACATACACAAATATAACAACTATTTTGCACTTATCAATGCATAATTATGGGTTTTAGATGCAGTGGGTTGTTGTGTATGGACAACATAAAGTGGGTTTCTATGGGCTGTCAAAATAAGCCTCCTCCTACGTCTATCAACAGAAGATTGAGTGACATTGTTTTGAATAAAGTTTGTCCCATCGTTTGAAGATGAAATTGTGAATAAAATTACTGGACATAAATGCATGAGTGTCAATAAATCATAGATTAAGACGAAAAATTAGTATAAAATGGAAAATAAAATATAATAGATAAAAGAAAATAATGTTATCAATTGAAGGCGCTGTGTGTTCTTGCTTTCAACATACCTTGAAACAGAGGGAAAGATCCACATTCACAAACTTTGTTAAGGTGTAGAATACAATGAAAGCTGCAGCAGAAAAGTAAAGGTGTCAAGTTAATGTATTCCCACTTACTTTGCAAAAGTTATTGAAAATTACAAATTGAAACATATGGATTCGAGAGGCAAGGGAAGTTTTAAAACTTCTTAACTATATATGATTAATGTGGTATTTGCATGATTAGTGAAGTGGGTCATTTAAAAGTAACATATCATTATACAATACACAACTTCCAGTATGAGATAAGTTATGATGTGGGATCATATGATAGTTATCTTTCATGTTGGCGGTATATTATATATAGTGTACAAATAATTACAAACATGTGATGTTTAAATGAGAATGTGTCCATAGGATCATTATAAAATTGTAATAAGATGACATTATGTTTTAAATTAAAGAACATAGTAATAATTTCCGAAAATTTTATACACTTTATCATGGATTAGTTGGATTATAATAGAAATTGTTCGTCAAGTGTTAGGTTGATAGGTTAGCTATTGGTGGAGAATCTCATATAAGATTCAATTGATAACATTATAGTCAACACTGATACATACAAAGCAGTGAAAGACCATAATGCCCAAACAACAGTTGTAATTTATCTTATTTCGTATTATCCAACCATGCAAGAATAACACATGGAAAAATGGATACGTAAAGATTTAGAAGAATAGATACATTAACCAAAAAGATACATAAAGATTTGGTAATAGTGATGTAGGTATAAAAAATGAAGTAAATGGTAAAGTAACATAATTTAGCATTAAAAAATACAATTCATTAGGAATGAAGAGTGCATATTGATAAACTTGAACCACAAATGATAAAGTAGTTATAGTCGAATAAAAGTAAAATGAAACGAAGAAACAAACATATTACATTTCAAGACAGAGAAACAAAGTATAACTACAACTAATCATTCTTCTCCATTTTGATAATCTTATTAAGATTGGTTGATGAGAGTTCTACTTCAGACAAGCCTTCAAAGGTTGTTGATTCACTTGATCCATATGGAACCTGTCTTTTAGCAGTGGGTGTTATTGGATCAAGGTTATACTTAGATGTAATCTCAAGATCCTGTTACATAATCGATTATAGTTAAGTTTAGAAATACATGCAACAATATATATTATTTAGGTAACTCATTAAATTCACACAATGTGAGGGAATTGAAGGTTGTCGTAACCAAATCACATTCTTTAGGGGCATCCGTTTTCGCCTCATCAACACTCTATTTAATCTAAACATAATTAAAAAAATTTGCAACGTGCAATATATATCAACTCTAAATAAACGAATTAAATTAAAAGAATAATTAGATAGTGTAGCGAGGAAAATACCTGCAGTAGCTCTGGTGTTATAGACGAGACATTTCCTATTGCCATTTTGTTGTGATCAAAGTAGGATCAATACAAACTTCGTAACTAAAAATTAAGAAATAATAAAAAATACTAAAGGCGTGCTAATGAATTATACCTGGATTGTTTTCCACGGAGCCTTAAATTGTTTGATGAACGAGTCATCTCTTAGGATCTTGACAACTGAGTAACTTTTCCAATGCGGATGCCACTTAACTTTAAATGCCATCTCCAAATTCAACATCACATCGAGTGCCAGTGGAAATTCTAAGGGATCATGAATTCCAACATATAGAAGGAAACAACACTATTACTATTAGGGCGTGTAAATATTGTTAATATGCTGATGTTCAAATAAATAATAAACATGAATCATGGTATCGCGCATCTGAGTAACAGATAAACCCAAAAGTTGTGAACATTCTCTGTCCCAAAAAATAAAGTTACAAGTTTTTCCTGAGTGGCAAACTTCAATTTCTATCTTATACCTACGATATGAGAAATAATGGTCATAAGAAATAGGATTTCATAAATATAATATTATACTTTTCAGAGACAAGTCATATATCATACCATAAGCAATCATACCTAAAGATCTCTGCCTCAGTGGAATAACGAGCTTCACACAGAAGTGGAGGTTTATCACCGCATGCAACCCCAGGTTATAGATGGCAGACACGATAATACCAGCCAAATTGAGATGCTATTAAAATTTTGGTTTCAGCAACAATAGCACAAAATGTGATCTGTATCAACGGTATATAACATAAGATGTAAATGATGTAAAAGGCATGGTCAATACAATTAACAAATAAAAAGTAAAAGTTATAGGAAAAGTAGTGCATACGCCAGTAAGTTTAGTAATCTCAGCGAGAGGCATAACAATAGCCTTAAAAAGCAACTTCTGAATATGAGTTTGTTGAGTATTTTCAGAGCCTTGTGAAGAAAGCTGAGAATTACAACTTAGTTGTCCAGACACACTAACCAAATAGTCTTTAGAGATGCTGCACAAATAATTCAATTAAAAAACTTCTACATAACATAAGCACAAATCTACCAGAGAAATGTAGACAATACATATTATCCAGAATGTACATGTCTATAAACTCTTTGATTGGAAGAAAATCAGCATTGAGGTAGAGCATGGTAAGATTGTAAGTATATGTGACGGACAACAAAAACTTCCATACATTAATCAAGTAAGAGATAAGTTTGAGTAGTTAAAAGTATCACACTATTAATAACAACATAAACCAACTGACCCTCTTCCTTTACTTTTTCACACTGAAGTAAAACCACAGTTGGACCAGACACATTGACTTGATCCTGGTTAAACTTGATGAATTGGTCGGCATACGCCTCATAAAAAGTGAAGTTCATAGTGTTGTTTCTAAACAAATGATACATGATATTGGACTTTGAAACCTGAAGTAAATATACATTCAAATCAAAGTGTTTTTGGGAGAAAATATACAAACATGTACTAGTCCCTTAATACTAAATTAACTTGTTGCTTTTTCGCCCCTGACTGTGTCTGTGAAAATCTAATACTATCAACCATTCCAATGATGTCTGCCAAAAAGATAAAAGGGACTTAAGAGTAAAATAACACATCAAACACAAAGGTGTAAGCAAAACACGAGCAATATATGAACATAGGTCTGTTACCTATCAAGACATCTTTGTTAAATATGCCGGTGACGATATCAGAAAAACTTGTAAATTTTAGTGGTTTGGGTGGTATTTTGTGTTTATTATCATCACTAACGGATGTTCCTCCGGTAAACTTCACCATAAACTTGTGCGACGAAGGTTTAAAGGTCAACTCATTAGGCTGAACTTTGAAGTTCGACACTGTGTAAGTATGGTCTAAGGCTAATTTGTCATAAAACGCGACCATATGGGTTGTTGGCACAACAACATATAAATCAGCCCTCTGTGATGCACAGAAAAGTCAAATGCATACAAAATAACAAAATAAAAAAATCAAGATTATCAAAACAATTATCAAACACCTTGCAACATACAACTCCTTATAACATAAAGAATCATAAATCATAAATCAAATAAACATAAGAGACAATGAATTACAAAAGTTACGTATTTGTCTATGAATATCATCTCAAAGTGCTCCTTGTTGTTGGAAACAACCGTCCATTTATGGTGCACCCTGACAACCACCTTCCGTAGCTCTTTGTTGTCGTTGATGTCGCAGTTCTTTTCAAAGGTTTGACCATGAAGAAAAAACAGATATTTCAGCAGAGAAGTTAATAAAGATATATAAAGGAAAGAGTATTTAGGTTTATTTATAATGTTTAAGCATCAGAAGTTCTAAGATTTCAAAATGAATGAAAAAACAAAGAGTTGATCCGAGACACAAACAAAAGAGAAGATCATGTAATAGTGAATGAGAAATAATTTTTAAAGATAGAAAAGAACATAAACCATACCTTGAATGAGTAAATGAAATTAACGAATTTTGGAAATCTGATTGTACAACAAAAGATATTGCTTAAAGATTATGGAGTAATAAGGATAATTAGAGATTTTAAAGAACACCTAATTTTCTTATTTTAAAGAACACCTAATTTTCTTATATTCTATTTTTTCTTTTTTAATATTTTAAAACATAAAAAAAAAAAAAAATACAGTGAGGGAACCGTGGCACCGCATTTGGTTGTCCACTATATTTGGTCTTCCACAGTGAAATGGAGAAAACCCCTAAACCCAAACCCAAACCCAAACCCAAACCCCAACGACACTACAATGAAGACGAAGCGCGATGACGATTGTTTCGAGCACCTTCACTTTTCCCCTCCTTCAAAATCCAGTAGACTGGTTTGTACTTTTTCTTCCACATTTGTTTTTATGATTATCATTTCCAATTCCAACTCATTTGTCTATATTACTAATTTAAGGACTACTATGAAACAACGACGACAATGGACACGGACATGGACGAAGATACTCCTGCAAATGTTGTGCCACCGTTGAAGCAATCCGACGAAGAGAAATCGCTGGTGCTATATTCAAATACTCCTCTTCTCATGTCCCCTACTTCCCCTCCCTTAACCATCGTTGTTGCTTCTCACTTGATTCCAGGTTTAAAGGGTAAATAAGTAACTCTTTATTACATTTTTACATTTTTTGCATCATTTTCTTTCTTTGCATGTTTATTTATCGCTTCCTATAATATTCTACTAATCACATTGTATGGATGGTTGATTGCTTTTGTGTTTATTGTTTCCCTCTTATTCAATCAAACAGCTGTTGTTGTGGTGTATGTAGCACCGACACCTCTAAACATAGGTGTATCTATTCTGTGATGTGACACGTGTGATTACGTTTAATTTATTGATTTTTTCTAATTATTACTGTTATCAATATGTCAGGGTCATGTTGGGTGTCAGTGTCAGTGATTATTGTACTTTCTAGAGATTGAAATTGTTACTAATATCGTTAGGTCAGTGTTGAGTGTCTGTGTCAGTGGTTTTGTTACTTTCTAGAAACTGAGATTATTACTGATATCGACATGTCAGTGTTGTGTTAGGTGTTTGTGTCAATGATTATGTTACTTTCTAGAGATTGAAATTGTTACTAATATTGACATGTTAGTGTTGTGTTGGGTGTTTGTGTAAGTGATTTTGTAACGCTCTGGAGATTGAACCGTGTCTTTGTCCGGTGTCTTTTAGCTCACCAAGTGAGCTACCTACTTGAAGCTCTTGTTGTCTATGTTAAACGGTTTAAAGGAAGGGGAAAACATAGCCTTCTTAGACTTTATTCTTTCAACTCAACAATGCCCTTCTGTGATTGTAAATCACTTACTTTAGGGAAAGCCCATTGACAAATGTGTATCAATATGTGTTGCTAGCATTTTTTTTTTTTTGAAAAAGTATGCTACTCTTTCCCAGTTAAATTTGAATTCTGTTATATAAGGCTGCTTGGGTTTCACAAGTTTTATTCATCGAGAATTAATTTAGTTTTTTAATTCGTCAAACGAGTAGTTTGTCTGCTTTGGCTATGTGATTAATGTTGTCATTTTCCAAAATTTTCTGTTTCTAGCAATGAGCTTGCAACTTGTGTTACTCTCACCAGAGTGTTCTCTGCATCCTTTATGTCATGGCTTCGATACTTCTACTACTTCCTTTTATGTTTCTTGCTGTATTTTGAACGTCGAGTAAACTTAAAATCCCAAAAGACAACCCCAGAAGTGGATTTTAAATGGTTTGAAGACTTAGTTATCTCAATCTGAGAAGGCCTTCACTAATTAACCGTATGTAGAGGAATGTTTGTATTGTGATGCCATCTCTGTCGCTTTCTTTTTGACACTGTTATAATATTGGGGTGGGGGGAGTTTCTATGTAGTCCTATCCTCACTTAACAACTGGATCTTCTCTATTAGTAGTTCTAGCACACAATGTCAACAAATAATACTTATTAGAGTGAGTACTCAGTGTTGAGCAGAGTGTGTCAACTATCAAGGAATGTGTTATTAGTATTTTTCTAATTTGTTATGCTATAAACATGCTACACTTTGCCACTTAAAATTCAAATTTAGTTCCTTTTGGAGTTGTTGATAGATTTCTTTATTTAGAGTCTACTTAAAGATTCGTCTACGGTTTGGAATTGGGATGTATGGGCTTTCCATTGAATCAATATATTATATGTTTGTACTTGTTTCCAAAATTGTTAGTAACAAGCTTGTCGGTTTCTGGTGATGAACTTGTAGCTCACGCTAGTACGCCACAACAACCACAGTGTTGGCTTTGTCCTTGATCTCAAGGTTTTGATCCTTCATGTTCCTTTTCCAGTCTCATTAGTCATACTACACAACCTTAAAATTGCAAGTTTCTTGCTAACATTCTTCTTTTTGAGGTCTACAAGAGTGGCATGATAAGCCCTTTAATTTGTTAAGGCATGTTGTGTACATATAAGAAGTGTGGCTTGAGAAGGAAAGTAGTCATTTCATCCAGAAGTAGAATTGGATCCAGGGAGAGTCTTGGATCTCTCTGATATATAGGGAATTTACATACTTTCTGCATATTCTTTTTGTACAATCGATGCAAATAATATTTGTACATTCAATACAAATATATTTGTACATTTTAATCTAAACCAGTTCCCATCATGGCATCCCCATGAGGACTTATGTTCTTTCTTGTAACATTTTTCATGCTTGTTGATTTGATTATAGGCTGCTTATGTTAAATTAGAAATTGATAATTATTGATAAGCATTTGTGGATTTCCCACGAAAACAATCTTGTTCTTATGTCTAACCAACTGTTCAGCAAGGCCAGAAGTTATTGCATTTTCATTTTTTTAAATTGCTTACTTATTTTACATTTCAATTTAGAGCCACATGTTACTTGGGCCATAGTATTACAAATTTTTTGACGAGGTTATTGATCTGGCTGAATACCTTGTGAATATTTTTTACCATTTTTTGCAGATTATCTGTTGTCACAGGGAACTATAAAGCTAGATGAACTCGGGGAAGATGAAATGAGGAGGGAGAAGACATCCAAAGTTTCAAAAGACTGTTTGGCTGTTATCCCATGGGTTCCTAATCCTCTGGCATGCAAAGAGATTGTACCAGAGACATGTCAAACATTAGAGGCAGAAGATAGCGAAATGATGGACTTGGATGAACAGCAGGCAAGTAACAGCAATGAGATGAGGGTGGAGGCATGCGGAGTATCATCACCATGGCAACAACAACAATGTATGATGTCCAATATGTTGCAACCTCTGTTTGGTGCGTATTTTCGGTAGGTCCGTAACCTCTCTAGTGACTTTGTGTACATAGTGGTAACCTCTCTAGTGAAAAAAACTGAACTAAGTGCCCAAGTTTCATAATAGTAAAGGTTTATATCTGCTGCAACCTCAGTTTGGTACCTAACCTCTCTAGTGGCTTTGTGTATATAGTGGTAGCATCTTTTGGAGAACAGCTGAACTAAGTGCACAAGTTTCGTTGTAGTAAAGGTATATGTTTGTTGCAGGAGTGAGTCTACTGTCAACGTCTGTTACCAGTTACTACTACCTGAGCTCGGGTCATGTTTATAAACTCGAACTAAGATATATATAGTTTTGAGTTCTGTTGGGAAGAATTAAAGATGTATTTGCCTTTGCCTGAGTTAATTGTTCATGTGAAGTTATGCGTAGTGTTTGATCTAATCATCATGTGAAGTTATGCGCAGTGTTCGATTTAATCTATGCTGTTTTATCAGATTTAAATGATAATTTTGCTTTTAAGTCTCGATTTCGTTTATTGGATCTTTTACCTCCAATTAACAAGATATTCTCCATGGTGATTCAACACCAAGCCAATTCCATCCTCCTATTGATGATTATCAAACACTGATTGATAGATGCTGTTGATTCTAAACATTTTGGATCATCCAAGTTGTTCACACCATTGCGCTGATGAAATCAAATATCTTACCATTCTATAGGATTTTCCATTTATTTTACCACCATGCTGGAAAAAATGATCTGATATGTAATTTTGATTACAAACTTGAACCTTCATCCAATCTTGAATTTCTTGCCAGACCTTAACAATTAGGACATTGTATAAGAATTTCTTGAATTTCTTTGTCAATCAAACATTGTATAAGACAAAATTATCAAGTACTTTAATAGTTTGTATTGTTCTATCAAATACTTACTCTTTTGCAAATCAAATGCACTCTTAGAGTAACTCTCCCCCTAGTAATTCCAAGAATCAAGTCACATCCTCATATTTTAGAATACTAGATTCTAAGTATCACATTTTCTAGGATTATCCCCCATATTTTGAACAACGTCATTGTAGACCCATTCAACTTAAAAACTTGAAACCTCCCCGTATAAAAGGACTTTAAATACTATTAAGTTATGTAATATTAAATACCTTTTTAGTTCCTATAAATACGTGATTCTGCGATTTTGGTTCCTCTAAAATTGTTTTTCGAGTAATGCTTCTCGTAAATTCTTCCATCCATAATTTTGATCACCACTGTCAATTCTCCATTAAACTAATCTAAAAAAAAAAACAAAACAATTGATTTTAAACTTTTCTAAAAAACACTTGGCAAACATTTAAAGCAATTACTTGTCTCCTATCTACTTCATCCTACATAGGTTTGGTGTCAGACACACTCAGGATCACTATTCCAAAGGTCGTGGTTTATTGTCAGGTCAGAGAAGCAAAACAATCATTGCTAAGCTATTTCTTCGCACAAATTGGGAAAAAAGAGGTACTCTTCACTCTTCAGAACACCAACAATGCAAATGGCTAATTACGAAAACATACACTTATGTACAAACTACATGTTTTGTTGTTTTTCATTATATCATTGAGATTTTGACTGCTATTAATGTTGGTGCAGGCTAAACAACTATCACAGTTGTGAGACGAAGATCCTACAACTTAATGATGCTCATAGTCGGATTTTTGCCATAACAAACTTATATATAATTTATAACTATTTATTATAATTGGATATTATAACCAATTTATATAAATTGTTATATTTTTACATAACTGATTATAAAACCGATTATATCTATAACTAAATTTTATAATCAATTATAAATTTCATAACTAAGTTTAAAGTTTATAATCGGTTTTTATTTAAAACCGGTTTCAAACATAAAAATTAAATTTTTGAACTTTTGATGAGCATTATGCAGAAAATATTGATTCAGATCGCTTAAATATGAACAAAGGATTGGGGGTGCTGAAGCTATTAGACAAATGAAGACAAGTGAGAAATATCAACATGTTCTTTTAACTAATTTGGCTTTCTATTTTCTTCTTTTTCCTTTTCATTTATAACCTGGTTCATGTTTACTTCAACATTTTGAATTTGATCTTTTTTGGAATCTAAAACTTTCATTTCTTTAATCAATTGGCTGAACAAAGTCAAAGCAAAAAAGAAACATATGAAAAAAGAAAAGGCAAAGGATATATAATGTCAATAAGTTTTTTGAAATTAATTCTCTCACACTGTACACACTTTGTGTAATATGATTTCAAATACTATAAAGATTACAGGTACCTTTCCATTTGATTGACCTCGTTGAAACCGGTTTAGTAAGTTTTATCAACACTCTGATGAGGTCCTTTATGTATGGACTCTAAAGGAGGGCACCATCAAGTGTCAAACCTAAAAAAAATATCGGTTTACAAGATCAGTAGGTCACGTTGGCTCTAGCATAACTCACAAAACATAAAGAAAACTGCGAGACTCACATAGTAGAGATGTCCGAGAGATATTCGTAATCGCTGCAGCGACTTAGACATTGACTTAACATGCTAAATACATTATTTATTTTAGAATGATTTATTTTTAACTTCTTTCCGTTTTTAAATTTTCAGAAAGTCAAAAATTATAAAAAAGTTTGTTTTTCAAAAATTTATTTATTTATAAATATATTTTTTTATAAAAAACTAATTTAAGATATTTTTTTATTTTCAAAAAATAAGTTATTTTAGATATAGATGTCCAAAATATAAATACGCTTAAAACTATATTAATAATAATATCAAAAATATAGATTTAGTTAAAGTCGATTTTTAATAACTGAATTTAGATATGGATATAGATAATTCAAATAACTGATTAATTTGAACACCCTTATATGCAGCCTTCTTCAGAACCTTGATAGAGAAATTTTCTCGTAGAAACTTTTTTTTTTTGCTTTGGCACCCCTAGTATGTACAATTTTACTAAAACATCTCTTATAAAAGTTTGAATTAAATTTTTTTTTTGTGTGATTTTCTATATTTTTGGATTAATATACCGATTTTTTTTAAAAAAAACTTGATTTCTATTTTTTTATAAGATTTTCTCGACTTTTTTAATATTTAATGGATTTTTAAAAAATCTGATATAAGAGCATATATTTTACACATGTTTTTTATTTATTTAAAAATATTAGATATAAACATGATCTTTAATAAAATATTATGACTAAAGTTAATCTATATAGTCGATTTCACTTAGTGGGATAAGACTTAAATATTGTTTTTAAAAATGGGTGCACAATCATAATTTGTTTTAAAAAATCTATGACTTTATATTATTTTTATTTCAAAAATTTGGTATAAACTCATATTTTGATACCAATCCAATATAAAATCATAGGATTTCGAATAATAAATTATGATTTTTGTTTTGGACTGGGCCCGACAGGCCCAAAAGCATTGCTAAGGCCCAGTCCAAAGGGATTTACTGAGGACCACGCCGAGCAAAGGGGTCACATCCGTGCCCGACATCCTGATGTCCAGCTCGACATCCTGCTGTCCAACTCCACGTGGTGATGTCCAGCTCCACCTCCTGATGTCCAGCTCGACACCCTGCCGTCCAGCTCCACGGCCTGACGTCCAGCTCGACACCCTGCTGTCCAGCTCGACATTACCTCGAGCATCCCAACTAGGGCAGACTCAGTCCACCGTTCCCCCAACGATACCCCGGAAAGACCGCGTCTTCGTCCGCCCGCACTTCACGCAGAACATCCAGGAAGGGGACCACGTGCGGGTCCCCACTACCCACGTAGAACCTGGCAGTTCCTCTATTGGGCCAAATCCGCCCGGCCCAATGAAGGAACCTTGGCCCAGCGCTGGGGGCTATAAATACCCTCTGCTTCCAGAGGGTCAGGTATTCATCATTCTAACCTCAACTTACTATTATCTGCTCGTACTCCTACTTACTTCAGCATCGGAGTGCCTTGCAGGTACCCCCCCCCACCTCGTTCAAAAAAGCTTTCTGCTCGGAGCCAGCCGTGACGGTCCATTTTCTGATCAGGTCAGATCAGTGGCGCCGTCTGTGGGAAACAGCTTCCCCGTCTAACGAACAATTCTAAGGACCAAAGCTCAATTTAACTACCTGTCATGGCTGATCCAGCTCGTGACGAGCAGCCCGTCCGTGTCGCCGACACTAATAACGGCCCCGCGGACAAGAATGGACACCTCGACAATCCCGGTGATCCCGGCCACAGTGCCATCCCTGTGACAACCGCCCCTGGACCTTCCACCTACAGGGACGGGGCTACTGCATCATCCTCTACGACTCCTCCAGCACTCGAAGACGACCCGGTAGCTCTCGCTCATCGCAGAGCTGCCCAGTTCTATGAAGTCCCAGTTCTTGCCGGGGCAGATGCCACGACTCAGGCACTGTTCGCGGCCATTAATCAGACAAATTACCTCATCTTCGCCCAAGGAGAAAGATTAAGGGCACTTGAAGATGATCGACGACCCCCGAGGAGGCATCGGAGGCCATATTCTCCTCCTCCTCGGGTCACGGAAGCTCGACACCCTTCTCCCCCGCTGAGACACTATAGGGAGAAATCCAGGAGCCCCTCTCCCCGGCCAAAGCAGAGGCGGCCCTACTATGAGAGACAGCCCGTCATCCCTACTGAAGAACCCAGTCGCGACCCATCAAGGCACGACAAGAGGCACGCCGGAGACGGGCGTGTGACCTTCAACCACCGAGCATCACGCTCGAGGGAATCTCAGCATGATCATCGTGCCAGACATAACTGCAGGACCCCTTCTCTTTCTCCGGAGAGGAGCGACGAGGATGACCCCCACGGTCCCCTGTCGCAGGCCATCATGGATGCACCCATCCCCCCGGGCATGGAGAAGCCCCCACACTTGAAGGAGTATGACGGAGTAGCAGACCCGGTCGACCACATTGACGGGTTCGAAGCCATGCTCCACTATCATAATGTCGGGGGGCCCATCAAGTGCCGTCTTTTCCCCACGACTCTCAGGAAGGCGGCCATGGACTGGTATAAAGGACTCGCCCCGGGCTCAATTACGTCATGGCGGAACCTGAAGAACCAGTTCATCAGTTCCTTCACAGCTTCTCGGCGCCATCCAAAGACCGAGGCGGCCCTCGAGGCCATCATCCAAAGACAGGATGAAACCTTGAGGGAATTCATCAACCGCTTCAACCGGGAAGCAATACAGGTCCCCTGCGCGGACCATAT